ATCCTAAAGATTGTGTACAGAATATTCCGTAGTGGTGGGATTTAAGAATATTTGCTTTTTTGAAAAACTTAAGAATTGTATTTTCTGTTAAGAGTTTAAAAGATTTTTGCTATATTATGGACAAAATGTAATCGTATATTAATTTTGTACCTACATTGTGCAATACTTGATAAAAACAAACGGTATAACAAAGTATTCTGAGTCAGTGTCTTACATGTTAAGAGGGACTGATAGTTTATTAAGTTTGTATTAAAAGAGCTTGGAAATAACATTGGTTCACTTCGTTATTGGGAGTTGTCGGAGGCGTTCATTTTAAGCAGATTGTTAGATGTGGGGAGGTTTTCTAAACGTCGGGGCAGAAACTACTTTTCCTCCCTGAAGTTATACAGCAAGTTTTGCTTAATGCACATTTTAGACTGAGAACTTGGGCAATCCACTTGCAGCATGAGAGTATCTAAACTGCAGGATTAGCCAATCGTTCTCGGCGTAGTTCCTTTTTTCCTTTCTGCATTGCAGATATATTCACAAACAAGTTCTCAGCAACATTTCCCACACCGTGAAAGCTGTGCTGGCTTTTCCCGTTTTCCTCCCTGGTGGTCTGAGTGTCGTGGCACATACGGTTAGTGGGAGTGGGACTGTGTGTAGCCTGAAAAAACTGAGCTAAAGTACCCACACAAGGCTGTTTGTGAACGTAGTGAAACGCTTTTTAGAAGCTACATTATGGAAATAAATTAAACCTTAACACATTAAAAGATCAACAGAAAAAAAAAATCTGATAAACTTAATTTCTGCAAACAATCATGCTAATGGYACAACCAGTATACTTGGCACTGATGCAGGTCAGATGTTACAATAAGACTTGCTTCATGACTAATAAAATGCTCACGCAGAGTGAAATAATGGTGYTAATGGAGCTGAAAGCTAAGCTGATCAGTTACATTTCACCCAGTGGCCCTGACCACGTGGCCTTGTTAAAGGGTAACTAGCGGGTTTCTTTTTGTGCCAGGTGGAATAAGATCCAAAGAGGTGCATATTAAGCAGGTGCTTTCATTCCTGGAGGTTCAAGAGTAAGACAATAAAAGCAGAAACTACATATTTATCCATGGTGACTTTGAGATCGACTCAAAAAAGAGGCAACACAATGAATTTCAGTGCGAAAACTTTTAAGGTTAATTTAGTTWGGAAGTTTTTCCCCTTCTTTTCAACACATTTAGAGTTTTATGAAAATGGCTACATTAGGAAAGTGGATGATGAATTTTAACACGGTGGTAGGCTAATAAATCATTAGAATTAAGTACTGTAGTTGAGAATAAAGTCAAGCTAATTATTATTTAATTGTTTTGGAGTAAAAATAGATTTTTTTTAGATGAGAACAGCCTGTTTTTGTAACACAGCCTGTCTGGTCTTAAAGCTTTTCGAGGCCAGTGCTGGATGGTTAAAATCACCCTGACCCTGCTGTCACATCAGAGTACCCCCACCCCTCCACCCCTCCAGCTCTCTCCTCATCACTTGCTCGTCTGCGTGTCCTCTGATACACTCAGGGCCTGATATGGCTGTGTAAAGTTCAGCCCCAGTGTGTGTGTGTGTGTGTGTTTTATCTCGAGTCGCTGATACAAGCGCCGGTGGGAGTGTGTTTGTTTATCTGGGTCTGCGACACTGTGTGCACACGTATGACTGTCTGCACAGGACAAGTCGTTCGGAAAATAACCAGTGGGCAATGACCTATTCTTGCACACTCCGGATGTTATAGCTTTTCTTTTTTTTTTAAATGGTACTTTTACTGACACTTTGCTGTAAATTGCTAGTCAGGACTGGGAGTTTTTAGCAAGTGTAACAGGGGCAGAGAAGTGAAGTCGCACATAATCAGCTCCCTCGTTCTGCATGCTGTTATGCTACACATGGTGTGAATTAACGGGACATATGAGGTCGAGACCAGCAAAGACTTTTGGCTGAAGTGAAGGAGAAAGTATGAAGAAGCTAGTAGGATCATTCCTGGAAAAGAAATCCAGTTTATGTTTTGTAAGTTTGCAGAAAATGAGTTCAAGTTGTATTAAAATAGCTTGAATTATGGTTCGGTGCTAAAGTTATGTTACTTTTTAAATAGCTCAGTTTAGAGTGTTTTATACTGACTGGATTGATGAGCTATAAGTCCAAGAGATTGGAGTTGTTTCAAGACAGCAGTTATCCACTTTAGTCTTGGTCCCTCAGCGCACACACACACACACACACACACACACACACACACACACACAC